ATATATATATATATATACACACATATACACATACATACACATACATACATACACATACACATATATACATATATACATACACATACATATATACATACACATATATACATATATATATATATATATACATATATATACATATATACATACATATATACATATATACATATATATATATACATATATACATATATATATACATATATACATATATACATACACATATATATACATATACACATATACACATATACACATCTCCCCCCTAGCAAAAAGAGAGCTTGTGTGTTTTAGCCTTGCTTCTGTGTGGCTAGACAACTTCTAATAAAAGGTAGATGTGTCTCCACATATGGTCCTTTGAGACCTGAGGGTGAAGGTGGAAATCAAGAGTTTATGGAGGCTTGCATGAGGATTCAAAGTGAGGCATTTCACCCAACCACCTATGAACCCAGTGGCGGCTGCTGCTGCTCTTCTGTAGCTGACAGAAGCTCTGTCGCCACAGGAGGGGTGCATATGAGAAAGACAGTTCCTCTACAAGTCATCAGTGAAGGAACACACAAGCCTGAGATAAATAAACACTCCACTAAGCAGCAGACAGATTGACAGGTGGTGACTCACAGGGGTGTGTAATGTTGGCATTCTCCAAGAGGGCTACGTAGCCCGTGACATTGCTGGGGATCCGGATATCTCTGATCTCCTGCAGGGAACGCCGGTTCTTCCCGACCGCAACGGAGACCAGCTGAGGCATGTAGCTGTGGTCATTAGAAGCCACGGCAATGGCCAGACGTCTCAAAACCACATCGGGTTTCATTTTCAACCTGGGAGCAGAAAAGAGGAGAGTTTCCACCTTAAAAATGATTATATACATAAGGGGCCAAACACTCTGTAATTCAAGGATCAGGCACACATGACAATCGGCTGCAAGGCCTCAAGTCACACAGCAGGCGCCCCTTGCCTTATCCAGTGCGAGCGTGCACTGCCGTCCGACTGCCAGAAAGATGCCGTTTCCCCATTTGTCATCTTGTAAACGTCTGCAACATTAGACGACGCTTCTATCGCACTGTAGCACTGTGTGACCACCTTGACTTTGTCCACCTCCGGATCACGGTCCAGCTCTGCTCGGTACTGGATATCTAGATCTGAGAGGCACAAATATAGATCAGGACGTCACTCTAAAAGATGTCCAGCAGTGGGAGACAGGCACGAATGTGTTAAGCGTGACAATATTCTTAAAATACACGGGAGAACATTTAGTTAAACAGCGTCCATTTAGCACTAGCCAGCCACTGTATTCATCTGAAGCTCTGGTGTTCACCTTTCTCCTTCTGCAAGAGGACTTCCAAGAAGTCCTGCACCACACTGGACCTCATGGTGCAGATACTGTTGTAGCCCTCTAAAATAGGGAAGGGGATGGCACTGCTGGGAATACGATTCCTGTGTAAGAATTTAAGGATCTTAGAGGCATGTGCTCCTAACCGGTCTTTGGTCTTTGAGAATATGTCAACAAAACCTGTGTGGGGGGGGGGGGGGGGGGGGGGCGGGGGGGGGGGGGGGGGGGGAGAAAGGAGGGGAAAAAGGGTGTGACATTATTAAAGGTGAACTCCTCCAACCGCTGACAATACCTATTCAAATAAGGTTGAAGGCAGGATGAACAATCCTGGTAAACAAGTCCCATCTCATACCTGGAGTTAGGGAGCACGCCTGTAGCTGTCTTATCACATGACTCAGCTCTCCCTTTAGATTAGCACCGTTAGAGTTCTTCAGTGCAATCAGCATGCTCTCTACATCCACCACCCCATCCCCCTCTGCATCGAACTGTCCAAATGCCTGAGACGGGGACAAAGACAGTACACATTGTGACACTTTATATATGCGAACACACTACCTCCCATTCCTGGACACCATCTAAACCTACAATGGATACAACTTAAAGTATCCTTCATTCATAGGGCACATGATATGCGCTGCCTCTATTGCTTGTTGTTAAGGTTAGTAAGTATAGTGTCTGATTAACAAGCCAGGTAGCAGCTCTACCTCCGAATGCTCACAGGGGTGCATTCCATGTCAACGCACATAAAAGGCACACATTCATTAGTCTACCTTTGGTTGAACAACAAATGTCAGCTAACAGGCAAGCTATGCTACATGAGGCCAAAGCGAAACAAACAAAACAAGTGACAATAAACAGGATAAGCGATGGTGACATCAGCAGAGCTCGTTTCTCTGACTCATTGCACACCCTGAAGGTAAGTTAACAGGTTACAGGATATCATGTAATCTTATCAACTCGACATGCCCATTTATGATGAGTGATAACAGCTTTTAATCATTATGTTCTCATATCTGAGACAAGAACAGCAACATTTCACATTTCACTTGTGTGTGTGTGACAGGCACGTTTAGCTAACGTAGATACCTCTTCACACTCATCTCTCGGGGCATCTCTGCTCTCCAACATCTCACAGAATTGCTCCACGTTGACGGACTCTTCTCCTCGGTTTAACCGGTCTTCCAGCCACCGCACCAGGACACCCTCGTTCCCAGCCAGAACAGACTCCTGAATGGCGACACCTGAGTCGCTAATGCGAGCCGCCGCTTCCCTCAGTTTCACTTGCTCCAGGAGCACGCCGGGGCTAGGCGGTCCACCGGTGGGCACGGGCGGGTTATTCGATCCCCTTCCGCTTCTCCCTGAACCGGAGCCACCGCCGCCTCCTACACCGACGGCAGTGGCCGCAGAGGCCGGACTGTCTTCCGCGAAGCCGGGGCTCTCCGTTTCTACGTCTTCCTCGTCGCCGCTGCCTCCACCGCAGCCACTCTCTGCGTTCCCCATGTTTGTTCCGCCGACCTAGGGCTCCCGGAAAATCTCTGCGGCCCACTGGGTGTCACTTTTGAAACGTTTACACCGGTCCGTACACAGACCACCTCTCTAACCCAGGGCTAGAGCTCTGCCTCTACCGTACACTACTACCGCATTGACGTGCTGTACGTCGTCAACGTGCCTGAAAACGTCCTCAATCAGTTTGCGCACGCGCGGTGGGGTTCCAGTGAACGGAAAGCACCTGCGCTGTTGTTGCCACTGTTTTCAGAAGGGGTGTGATGATGTTATGCGATGTAAATGGGGGACAGGCCAAAACGCTTTCATGAATAGCATGCTCGGCTATGTTTTTGTCGCTTTTTTAGCACTGGCAGTTTTGTTCATCCCACGCGAGTGGTCCTTCACATTTGGAAATGGATCAGACCGGGGGCCCCCTTTGCGGCTCCTGAGCAGGCGTGAATTATCACTGTACGACGGGGAGGAAGGCAGCCAGGGCCTTTACCTTGCCATACTGGGGCAGGTTTTTGATGTACTCAAGGGACACAAGCACTATGGACCTGGAGGTGCTTATCACTTTATGACAGGTGATTGCACGCTTCTCCTACATTGCTCAATGTGTTAATTTTAAATACCTTTTAATATCTTTTAAGTGTAGGACACTGGTCAAAAACTGTCTGATGCCCAGCTATAGGCTAGTAGATTACTATCCCACATACTGTGATGTCATATGTGTGTCGGCATTTTCAGGCAAAGATGCCTCTCTGGCCTTCATCACTGGGGACTTCACAGAAAGTGGTCAGACAGATGATGTGTCCAGTCTGTCCCCAATGCAGGTGATGGCCCTTTACGACTGGCTGGCCTTCTATCAGAGGGACTACAAAAGTGTAGGTATGTGTTTCGATTAGAATTCGTGGTACAGCCCTTGCATTTCTTAGTTACCTTCCAAGCATCCAATATCATCAGGTTCAGCTTTACTCAAATGATTTGACATGTAGTGTCTACCATTACTCCTATGATGTTTTATTCTAATTGGTGTTGCATTCAAATTCTTCATCAGGTACATTTTTTGATTCCTCTACATGTGGGGCCTTAACAGAAATAACAAGCAATGAATGGGTACTTTCAAAATGTCAGATATATGAAACAATGAAGCCAGTATTGTCAATGATTCCAGAGTAAGCAGTATGAGATAGTGAGGCTCCCGCTTCCTCTTATCAGTTACAAGCTGAGTCAGCACATGGACAAATCCTAGCGAGCTACAGCCTGTGCAGTATTTTACACCTACAATAGTTTATGACGGATATGTAATGTTTGAGCAACTGCTGACTCATTTATCCTGATCAAAGGACATCCATCATCAACTGTAAAGCACCACCCAACAGCATTGACCTATGTTCAATTTCAGGTCTGTTAATAGGCCGGTTCTATAGCGAGACTGGGGGGCCCATGGAGGCCCTGTTGCAGGCAGAAGCGTCACTAGCGGAGGGCCGGCGAATAAAGACCCAGTCTGAGGCCGAGCGGCTGCGCTTCCCAGCATGCAACTCAGAGTGGAGCGCTGCCAGAGGAGGAAGAGTCTGGTGCTCCACTAAGAGGTATGGAAATTGTTCCGGCCTAATCAAATATTAACACACCTACAGGGCATATGATGCAATGTTGTGATTTACTGTAATAGTGTCTTTAAACCGTGGGCATTATTGGTATTCATCCGAATTGACAGTACTGATTTGTTTGCCTTTCTCTAGTGGTGGAGTGGAAAGAGGCTGGACGGGTGTTCCACGGAAGCTCTTCTCTCCAGGCTCCAGTGGTGTTCGTTGCGTCTGTGTTGAAGACCTATCTGCAGCAGAGGAGGACCCCAACCTGCAGAAATATGACGGCTGCCCTCCACATGCTGAGTCATGCTCCGTCGAGGAGTTCTAGCCTCAGGGCCAACCCGGGAAATGGACCTGTTGACAGCAGCACGATACTCGGGGACATTTTTTAACTTATTCACTAAAAAGAGGAACGGAAGAAGAAGACAAGTCAAGGCATTGGTTTTTGATGACCTTTATGTAAAGTTGTCCTCCCTTTCTCTAAAAGGATACACCAGGAAGAGACAGGCTAGATATCTGAGCATACAGATACAATATAATGTGCATAAAAGATTAAACAATGTGCATAAAAGATTAACAGAGGCAAGATTTAGGTTTGTCACAATGACAAGGACAAACTGCATTTAAGTACAAAACAGTTGTAGTGGTCAAAAATATCACACATTTATCTGTACAATTTAACAATACTTAAAGAGGCCCCACTACTTGGCCATCCCCTCTCCTCCACATTCTCCCCAATGATCAGAAATGTCATGTGATCTTGATAAAGTGCACCCGTTAGGCTTAGAAATCAAGAAGCGTCCAATGTGATGGGTCAAGACAACAACTTGACTTGAGGCAACATTGTGGGGACTACGATCACGACTTCCTACGAGGACCCCGTGGCAGATAAAAATATGGAATGTAATCATTTGGTGACTGATTTTTGAAAAGGATTATGAGGTAAAGGCTACAAATGAAATGGCATGCATTGGCAGAATAGGCATTTCTGTAACTCAGGTTGTTGAGAGAATTTAGTTCTGTGGACCACATTTATATTCCTCATGATAAAGTCTGCTTTCTCAGGTCACATTTTCCAAACTTGCCATGTTAAAAAAATAACCATTCCATTTAATTTGGCCGATGCCTACACATGATGGAGAAAAACAACATTTCATGAGGAATGTCATCCATGTCCAGTTGTGCCATCTTTCAGTTTTAACACTTAAGTAAGACAATATCAATGTTATAATTCTGGATCTTACTAGATTGGATCTCATTTGGAAGTGATACTCATTTAAATAATGAGCTGAGATGATTTCCCTTTAAATCCTGCTCGCCTGTCAACACATAATTGGGGTGGCAGAAGAGTGAAACATGAAAAGATTACAGAGAACAAGTTGATCGTTCATTCCTTGGAGATTTAGTGATCTAGGGGCATTTTATACCTTTACTCTGCTCTTGGCTGAGTGCAGATTTAGCTCTCATGTAAATGTAGATATTCATTTTGGCGCACGGAATCTTTGTCTTTGGGCAGGTCACATAGCATAAAAGGCTGCCGATGGTGAAATATCCAAACAGAACAGGAAAAAGAAAAAGAAAAAAAAAGAAAAAAGTCCCTTCAAACGGTGGCTTGATTTAATCTTTCATTGATTTGAAAAGTCCTGCTGGTCATAATAAGAGCTAATCACTACAAACATCATTGGGCTTGGGAAACTGACTCCATCCATCATCAGCTGCTTATATCCACTTACTTTGATCAAGACAGAAACGAAAAGACAATGTTTCACTTTCACTTTGAACCGTCCCTCTCTCGAACATTAATAGTTTTTCATAGACTGGAATAGTATAAAGGTGATGGTCCATAACTGTCCGGGAGTCTCTTGTTCGCATGTCCTGCTACTGATGTCCCTTGGGCCTGGTGTGCCTGAAAAACTGTGCCAAGTTGGGCCTGGTATTGCCAGCGTCAGAGGGTGGAGGATATCCAGGCCACTGCATTACGACACCCCACCCAGAGTTAGTACATCGAAGCAGATGTCGCACACCCTCACCGGCTTGTTCAAGTCAAACTTGATGATGGGTATCTCCTTTATAGAGCACTTGTGGCACAACAGGCGCCCACAGTGACGGCTGGAGTCAAGGACGAGACATAGGGTTAATTATACATTCTGAAATATAAAAATATTATTTATTGCACAAATACTAAAGAAGCCGTAGTACTAACCAGTGATGTTTCCGTGTTGTGACACCAAACTTGGCAAGACATTCATAGCAGTAGGACCCATCACACCAAGGAGGCTCTTTGGACAGCATATCTGAACAAATCATCATGGGGTCAAATACATTGTATCACAGCTTTTCACTTTTAATGCCTGGGGAAAGCCCGATAGATGAAGACGTGTGACAACTTACCAAGAAGGCGGAAGAGCAACTGTTTGGTTGCAACTTGGTAGTTGAAAATGTTAATGCCCTGGTTGTTATTGATGCCCAGTCGAGCCCCGGCCCTCACAATGGCACGGCACAGGTTTGCGTTTCCTTTCATGTAGGCCAGGAGCAGAACTGAAATAAAACACAGGTCTCAGTCATTCTATCACAAGTGTAACCCGGATAATTAGTAGGATATTTGTATACTGTTGACAACAGTAGTAATTAAGCAAACTTCAGTACCTGTGTTCCCTTCATTATCGGGTTTGTCCAGAGGGTATTCAGCCATACACTCCAAGAACAGCTCAAAAATGGCGGCAGCATTCTCTTTCCCATAATGGCCAAGTACGTGCATTGGTGACTGACCCCTAAGTAGACATGATAAGGTGAAAAAGAGACAGGGAAATTAGCTTTATAGTCTACAGAAGCCTAATCGGTTACGTTTAAAAAGATTAAACTTTCTACATTGTTAATATTCTGTTTCTATCTCATTTTCTGAATTCCATGGTGTTACGCTACATTCACACCTAATCAGGTGTTGCAGGGGAAAACCGCCAGGACTCCTATACATTTGAATGTGGGTGGTGCGTTTGGTGGCAGGGACCGGAGGGGATGCTGAAAATAACGCAGCGACCTGTAGCGAAAAGTTCGATAGGACCCCGTATCCTGGTTAGCTATTTAAATTATATGCGTTCGTTTTTTAATCTGTCCCCGCGGTCAGACAATCACTCGTAGGACCCACAACTTGGCTGTTTTTAAAGGGACCCTCCAACACCACTGCACAAACCTGCACTAATCACTTTAACGGCTGATTTGGTGTGAATGCAGGCTTAATGTCGCTGCTGTAATGACCTAAAAGTTGAATCTCATTGATCTTAAGGAAACATCTGACCCTGAAAGGAACCGAGTGTACCTGAGATTGAAGGCCTCAGCATCAACGTTGGACTCTGTGAGAAGGGTTCTGACATTGTTAAGGCGGCCCTGCATCACAGCCAGATGCAAAGCTGGGGACACAAAAGATTAAAATGGTATTATTGAAATGCTGGGGAGGTGGCACTACACAAGCGACTCGAGTAACTCCAGCTGGAATTTCTTAAAGCAATGAAGCTCAATAATAAAGAACGTAAGGTACCATTATTGCCATTCTCATCCTCGGCAGCAAAGTCGACTCCATTCTCCAGCAACACAGAACAAATAGTGGCCATGTCCTGCTGGGCAGCTAAATGTAGCGCTGTCTGTCTGTGTTTGGTCAGCTCATTTACTTTGGCTCCGGCAAGCAGCTGGAAGGAAGCAGAGAAATAAAAACTATTTTATCTGCACCACTCTTTTAATAACACAAGAATAGTAAATGCAGAGGACCAAATAATTCTTAGGTTCCTACCAGGTTGCGGACAATGATCTCAGATCCAGCCTGGACGGCCAGGTGGAGAGGGGTGAGTTTGGCTGCATCCTGAACCCTGGAGTTGACATTAGCTTGGACACTGATGAGGAACAGGACACTTTCGATGTCTGAATTTTGCACAGCCACGTGGAGAAAATTACGTCCTTTGTTGTCCACCTGGACGGAAACGAAAGTTTGAGACTAACACTTTTAACTGTACAAAATCTTTACAAGTGATCCAGTGAGACAAACGGGTGCATTTGTGTGAACACCACCTGCTCAGCAGCACCAGGCTCCCTCTTGAGGATGGCCTCGGCTGCCTTATTGTTCTTGTGCGTCATAGCACAGGCGAAGGGGGTCATTCCTTGACGGTCGCGTATGTTGAGACGAATGTCTGGATGGGAAATGAGGAGCTGTATAATAACGTTGTGCTGGCTGCTAATGGCAGCGTGGATGGGAGCCCTGCCCTCTGCATCCTGACAGAAAACGGACAGACACCGGATTAAACGCTTAGAAGAGGAGCATGTTCTTCAACACACTTAGTAATCTCTCATTAGAAAATATAGTAAGTGTTGTCAGACATAAAATGAACCCGCTGATGTGACAGGACTGACCTGTGCATTAACATTAGCTCCAAACTCGAGAAGGCACTGCACCACCACCTCCAGTCCCCAGCTGCTTGCAAGGTGGAGGGGCGTTTGTCCATCTCGGGCCTCTTCATCTCCTTCCCCGTTAGGGCCTGGCTGTCTGGTGCTGTTCACGTCACAACCACTACACGCACACACGAGGCAGATAGTAAATTAAGACAGCTAGCTACATCCATCTCAATCTCAATCTCAATAACACCAAGTTTAACAACTGACGTTTTCCTAGCATTATGATCATATGGCAATAGAGTCACAGTTTAAGCAAATATGTGCATTCAGGGCTAGGATTAGGTGTCCCCCAAACACTAATGGTAAAGAGATTGGCAGACCTGCGGATGAGGAAGCACGCAGTGACCTCGTTATTCTCATCAACAGCTCTGTGCAGGAGGGTCTGCTTGCAGCCAGAGGGCCCTGTGCTCCAGGACGTCGCATCACAGCCATGGCGGACCTAGGTGAAACAAACAAGAGTCAAAATGCAAGAAAATATTACAATTGACCTCCCAGAAATCTATAAAACATACGTGCAGCCTGCAACAAGGCGTTGATGCAGATTAAGCGTTACAGGTGTGAATACAGGCTTGTAAAAGGTTCTGTGCAGCTGTTTGAACTTCAGGACAGAGGTTTATAGCAATTTGTTTTTTTTCTGTTTGGAACCAATTCATGTTCACTTCAGGAGTCTCGGACAGGGCTGATATGAATTAAGATGCTGTATGTCATATGAACATCACTTCTGTTTCAATTCTACAAATGAACAGTTTAAAGAAGTATATATATATACACACACACACACACACACACACACACACACACACACATCTATTTCGAGATATATACCTGTGATTACAGGCACACCCAAACCAAAGAGTGAACCTGAGAAACAAGCACATGCATCTATGCCAGAGGCTCGTTTCCTTTAATTTATTTTCAGTTTCATTTTTAATCTTGAATAAAAGCTAAATAACTGCCAGTGTACCAACAAGGACCTAGGAGGGTACCACCATCATCTTTAAATGGGTTGCATATGCATTTGTCTCACCAGCGTGGATGCAATATCTTCCAGGCCATTCCCCAGAGCCAGCCACAATGGAGGGTCCCCTTTGTCATCCACCACAGACATATCTGCTCCTCTTGTGCAAATGGCATCCACCACTAGTGGCAGCTGGTTGTTGATGGCCAACTGTAGTGCCGTTTGTCCGTCCTGGGTCCTGGTAGTGGAGAAAAAAAAAAAAATATGGGTATAAAGACTTAAGAGAAAGAAGAGCGGAAACAACTTTAAACTCTCCCCGTAAAATTCCTAATAGGATACTGCGAGATTGCTTTAATAATGCCTGAAATCAATTTGTCTTTGCTGGCAGTGTAATTCAGGGGCCCTTTTCTGTCACATAATCATCTAATCTATCTCGGATCCCATTTTAGGTTGTTTTATGTTGCCCCTGCACATTACTTATGAAGTGTAACTGAACCTGGTTTAAAGAACTAAAGAAATGGCAGAAGATCGGGGCATTCTAGTTCGCATCTGGCCGGGGAAATTAAATGGATAGCTTGGACTTTTTTACGTGGGGTTGTATGAGGTACTTATCCATAGTCAGTGTATTGTCTACAGTAGATGGCGGTCAGCACGCACCAAGTTCATAGAAACAGACAGGAGAACCACAGAAGGCAATGTACTGCTGTGGACAGGGGCAGCAGCAAAACGTATTTTAGCCAACTAACAAACTGGTGCCGCGCTGACCGTCTTCTACTGTAGGTTCTACACAGACGATGGAAAACTCCTACAACCCCACTTCAAAAAATCTGAACTATCCCTTTAAATCACATGTCACTCTCCATATTCCTCCCCATTCACTTCCTGTCATCGCACTACTGTCGGCAAAAAAAAAAAAAAAAAAAAAAAAAAAAAAAAAAAAAAAAGAGGCGGCATAAAATGCTCAAAATTATAATTGTCAAGAAACATTGCATAAGTACTTTACAACTGCAATACAAGGCAGGCATTACCTAACACTGATGTCAGCCTGATGCTCCAGAAGGAAGAGGGCACTCTTGCTGTCCTGTCTTTGGATAGCCATGTGAAGCAGGGTTTGTCCATTGGACATAGTGTCATTGATAGAAGCCCCTGAGCCCAGCAGCTGAGCCGCTATGGTGTGCATTCCTGACAGGGACAGATTGGACATGTAATAAATCCCACACACAGATCACCGTGCAGTCCTGTTACAAGGTTAAGCACACCGTATCACATCTCCCCCGTTGTTGTGTCGTGCTGTGTACCTGTCCAGAGGGCCAAGCCCAGCACTGTCTGGTCCATGGAGTCCTTGAGACTGAAGTCTGGAATGATCTGGAAGTTGTTGGTGGCATGAAGTGCATTGGCTGCAATAGAGCCGTCGAGGGAAAGATAAGTGGGTCATTTTCAGACGTTGAGGCACATTCGTGCTAACATGTGCCGTGGGGTAAATCCCCAAACATTGAAATGTATAAATGCTGACCTTTTTGCTCGAGGATGACAGAGACCACATCTGGGTGGTTGTGAGCGATGGCCATGTGGAGGGGGGTCTGCATAGCCACACCAACGGTGTCGTCAGGCAGAGCCTTCTGGGTCTGCAGGTTGGGGTTGGCCCCTTGCTGGAGCAGCTCTGCTGTCAGGCTCGCCAGGCCACTGCGGCATGCGGTATGAAGCGGGCTCTCACCCTGACAGAAGGCAAAAAGTATCAATAAGGTCTTTATTAGTGACACATAAGAAGGTATTGTGATTTAAGGAAAGCTTACTTTTTATAGTCTGCAGATGCAAATTTAAGAAAGACTCAGGTCCATATTAATGACTGCAGTTACATGCAAGTTAGACATTCAACTGGTGCCACAGCTCGGATGTATTATATGAACTAAGAGATCTTTATAAAACTTTTTAAAATTTTCACCCATGAATAAAAACGGGGACGAGAACAAAAGCTGCACATGTCATTTTCTCCGGTTATCTAGAAAATGTTATATCTGGGTTTTGTACGATGACAATAAAGTTGTAAAGGATTCATTTTGTCACCATGTTCTGACCTGTTACACCGATTGGCCTAAGGACACTGTAAGAAATGATATCTGTTAAAACTACCTGCACACTAGGTCTGATTTATCACACCCATGTAACTGTTTGTTATGTGGCCGAATCTTTCATACGCACCCATTTGTTGATATGGTTGACCTTTGCTCCATGAGTGGTAAGGAAAAGTGCAGCTGCCTCATTGCCTGCCTGAGCTGCTCTCTGCATGAGACAGTTCTCTTCAAGGGATAAAACAAAAAGGGAGATGAAGTCTTATTTTTTTTTTAGTTTAAAGACATTTAAAGCATCATTGTATTCTTCACATTTGGGGTAAAGTGAGGTTACTAAAGAGCACCTGTGGTAGTGTCAGGTGCATCAGGATTGCTTCCTCTCTGGATAAGCTGGGCCGCAAAGCTGTTCTCGTCAAACGAGGTGCCGTTCACTACCGGTGCATCGTCTTCAAAGGGGTTTACTGAGGGGTCTGAGGCCACGGTGATGTACTGCAGGGCCAACCACAGAGCTGTGCTGCCCTCGTGGTCCTTGAGTTCCAGGTCAAGCCTAAAGAGAGGGAGCAGATTACACCACGTTACACGCAGGCTTACCCTTAGAGTTAAATGATGACCAGGGTCACAGGATCTTAAACATTGGTGCCTTCAAATGTGGCTATATTCATACGATTTTTTCATATCCAAATAATCTAAATTAATGAGTTGTCATGTTTGCTGGAGTTTTTTTTTTTGTTTTTTTTTTAAATCGCTACATTAATTGTCTCCTCTTCTTATTTGCCAGCATGGCAGAGAAAAGAAAACACGTTTTCTAAGAGGATCCATTTCAGTTAGCTAGCTATGGTGGTCTTGTGAGTTCCACTAATTGAACACCGAGCACGCTGTGTGCTGACTTTCCATGGCAGACACAAACGCACTAATTCCATTAGAAGGCAGTATGTAACTCACTGTTTGCACTGCAGTAGCTGATTGAACACTGGCTCATTCCCCGATGCCACAGCTTCATGCAGCGGAGTTCTGAAATCGACAAAAGAACAGAGCTGAAGCGGCATCATTCTTTGCACAGCAGTCGGCCATCTTTGCATTCCCATGACGTCCCAGAAAACTTACCTGCCCTTGCTGTTCTGCATGTTGGGGTTGGCTCCGGTCTTGAGCAGGGCCTCTGCGATGCGCGCCATGCCTCTCATCACCTCCACAGTGTGCTTCTTGGGGCTGAAAGAACAGACCAGGTGAAGTGGGGTTTCCACCGCCCCCACTGTGGCTGCATTCACCTGAGCCGAGTGGCGAATCAGAAAGACAGATGCAAATTCATCCCCTGGAGGAAGAGGAACAAAGATTACCAGTCATGCAGGACGTATTACTGCTTTTATGAATCAACTTCAAAAATCTAATGTTCACACTGTAACCAAGTCTGTACAAGAAAAAGCCTTGAAATGAGTGGAGTGTTTATTGAATAATAATGGCAGGTATATTTTTAAGTGAACACCCTGGAAGCTAAGCCAAAAGTGTATTTTGGACACCACTTCTACAAGACAGACACAAGGTTGGCAAAAAGGTGTAGTAATAGTAATGACTCCCACACACCTCGTTGGATGGCCTTATGCAGGAGGCTCCAGCCACTCTGGTCCACCATGTCCACATCTGCTTTGCTGGTAACCAGCGTTGTGGCAATACTCTCCAATTTACGAGCGAGCGCCAGGTCGAGCGCCAGGTCACCGTTGTTGTCCACTTCATTCAGCTTACCAGGGAGCTGGAAACATAAAACCTGTTAATAGTGCGATGGGAAACCTGTATTCTGCTGTGCTGGTTACACTGTAACAAAAGGAGAAAATAAAACACTAGTTAGTGAGCAGTTGATAAATGGTATCAGTGGGGGGGGGGGGGGGCGGACCTGCGAGTCCATCTCGATGAGATAGAGAAAGACCACATCTTCTCGCTCCACTTTGATGGCTTTGTGGAGAGGATACTCTGTTTTAGACTTGATCATCTTGTACAGTAGTTGGGCGCTCATGGTGCTGAAATCTTCTTTTCTGAGGTCATCCTGATAAAACACAAGCAATGAAACACAACAAAGTGTCAGTGTCCAACATCAGAACTCACCCATTTCCTTAAAATCGAAACCTAAAAATAATGTGAAGCTTATTCCTTGTTTCTGTGAAGTGCAGTCATCACAGTTCCAGCATGAGGTGTCAGAGGCTGGTGACAGTCAACAGCCATTTTCTAAGTCAAAGTCGTAAAGATAACCTTGTCAACTGCCGAGCTGTGGCCTCTCTGGATTTATTGTATTGTTAATGATCAGATGGCTCACCCTGTTAAAGGGACACAACACTGATCTGTCAAGAAGATGTAAACAGATTAACCCACAGAGAAAGTGATTCAGATGTGGCATATGTATAAAAGAAAAGATATACAGTATGTTGATTCCTTGGGACTGATAATGCGTAAAATTCAGTGCCATCAGCTCTCGTCAGTACATGATTGAGAAAAAGAAAAGAAAATATCCATACCGCACATGTATGCCAACGGAAGCACGCAAACTCCCCCTAAGCCAGGGCCACGTCCAAACACTTACCCAGTGGCTGGCTATGATCTCCCCACAGTAGTTCATCAGGGTGGTGGCATTTAGCTCCTCAGCTGTCTGGTAGAAGCGAATGCAATTCCTGACGTTCACCGAGGACATTACGCCTTTTTCACACCTGTCTCAGCGCAGGACCAAACACATTTTTGGCCCATTAAGACACACATGTCTATAATGCTGCCCCTAGAAGCAGTTGAAATTCAATTGTAGCCTGTGTGTGTGTATATATATATATATATATATATATATATGACTTGTGCTGACCTCTCTCTGAGCAGCTGAAGCTGGAAGCGGTTGGCCAGCTTCATCAATTCAATAAGAAAGGCGTCATCTTCAGTGAGCTCCAACTCATCCGTGTATGCCCAGCGCAACATTGCCATGGCGACCTCGGATTTGCAATCTGGAAATCCATCATGTGACCACATCAGAAATGTACACAGCAATCTATTGCAAATGTGCAGTGATTTTAGACAGGCGGACATATTATATCTTCAGCATCTCTAGACACTTAATCAGTCTGGAAAAATAGATACCTTTAAATAAGACCTCTACAAAAAACACATTTGTTTAGAGGTTCCTTTTCATATTTATATGAATTCAACCTGAACCCATTATCTTACTAGGAAAGAGGCAAGAGGGCCAAATTCCACTGAGAGCAAAACTCTATCCAATAGTAGACTTTGACAGACTGCATGACCCACTCCAAAATAAATATTCGCTCATCATCTATTAACCTACAAGTATGTTGACTTACAGGGTAACAACTGGGTTTTAGAGATGCATTGATTGCAGTTTTTTTTGGCCGAAACACATTTCCAATTATTTAAAAGTCTGACCTGGCAATTTAGATTTTCTTTGACAGGATACACAAACATTTTCGTTACTTCTTTTTCATGGAAAATTGAAATTCAGTTGTATGTTCACAATAAATCATTGACTATTAAATAAATTTACAGGATCTTCTCTCACTCTCACAAATCTCAAAGTTGCTGCAAATGTTTTTTACGGGTTGTTCTATGGCTTATTTTGAACTTGCAAGTGTTCCCACACCGACGACATAATGCGCGTCGCAGCCACCACCGTATGTATGACGTGCATGTTATGCGTGTGTGAGACTGTGACGTTACCGTCTGTGCGCGCTACGAAAAATCATCATGCGCATCATCTGGCTTGTTTTGACCGGTGGCCGATCAATCGATGAGTCTCTACTGGATTTTCATTATGAATTAAGCTACTCATTTAACACACGTGACGTTCCACCAGGGCATCTCACCAGATAGGTCCAGCTCAGAGGTGGAGGCCAGGTTGGCCAGACTCCAGACATCACTGCGAGCAGCCAACACAAACTTGTGGGCACAGAGATTCTCCCCTGCGACTTTCACTTTCAGATCACTGCAAAAAAACAATCATTCACCTCTGAGAAACAAAGTCACAGATAATCTACGTCTTCAATAATACTGAAACTAATCAACACACTCAACAGTACCGAAAGCATGACCCACGGTCACAGGTTGGTGCGCAACATCTCAAGCAAAACCCACACCCCTCCATTCCAACCACGACCCTCACCTGTACTGCTCCTGCTGGTAGAGGTCGGCCACGATGACCAGCAGGCGGCTAATGAAGGTTTCTACAGCCACGGGGCTGGAGGAGCCCTGGCTGGAGGACTGGGCAGCGAGCACGGCACAGCGCCTCTCTGTGTCGGCCAGCTTCTGCTGCATCTTCACATACTCCTGCCTGAGCAGGGCCAGGTGCTTCTGCAGCTTGGCCACCTCCTCTGTTATACATCAAGGTGTAGGAGACAGACATCGGAGGACAAAACAAGAGGCAGGGATGCAAAATGTAGGTTAGAGAGACGCATTTGTCAACACACGCTGGACTGGACTTTCTTAAGAATGTTTCCCCTTAATGTAAAAAGGGTGGTTCAAAGCACAATAGTTCCAATATACAGTACCTAGCCACACTTTTTATTTCTGAAATGTGTCCATTACTGAACAAAAATATCTGTTTCAAGATTATTCTTATGGCAGTGACGGTATGGCAGGTAACTAGATTTGCACCTACGTTGCTAAGGGTTTGACAAATGTGTGACTTGATCCATTATTCATTTTCATAACACTGATCTATTTCTTGTGACAATTTCCTTTGTCACCTTTGTTAAACAGAAAAACAACATTTTCAGCATCCCCCGTACAAGACATACAAATCGTGAGAACAGATTATGACAGACTCTAAGAGCATGTTTTTGTTAATAGGATAACCTTTTCCCTTTTCCTATGAATGACGAAGACTTTCTACAGAGCTTTGTGTTGCAACACACTTTTATGCCTCATCCTCGAGTCCATAGAGTTTCACTGAGGCCCATTTCCTTCCTTCCTTTAAAACCAGTGAAGTTTAAGCGAGGAAAGAATGCTGAGATGGCACGTTAAGTTGTCCTCCCTCTCGTAAACCGTTAATGGCACAGCCACTGGTCATGAGGAACAGATGGGGGGGGGGGGTGCTTCTCAAAAAAAACACCTGATCAGCTCAACACAGGAAGGGCGGTATGGAGGAGCAGCAGTTTAGGGCCAACTGACCAGCCACTGGACAAATTCTTATGCCACACTATAATCCACTTTCTAGTTGCAGGATTTAGCAGGCATCATTAATGCATTTGCAAAGCATTTTTATTTGCAGCCTGAGACAACTGTATACACTAAACATTTAAAAACAATGCACCCTGATCATAACTAGTATGAAATGTACAGGATCTAATCTCTTTCAAACATTTTAGAGCAATGAACCAAGGCACTAACTGTTTAATAACACAATGACAATACTATCAAACTATGCCACTCACAACAGAATACAGGCACTGCAAGGGTAATTTTAACTGACAACATTGGGCCTTCTCTATTTCATTTAAGGGAAAGCGCAAACAATCATTGAACATGTCCAAACAAATACGCCTTCTGCTTAGTAACAACCTTAAGCCCACAGAAGGGAGTGTTTGTTCTCTAGATTCAAGATGGTAACGTTAAGTAGATTTCCCTTGAGGAGGAGCACACAGCAGACGTTCCCTTATGTCTCCGCCAAATATAGGTGGTGCATTTGGCCACAGCACCTCTACCAGGTGGAGCAGATAACACCTTACAGGAGTGACAAGTGTCCTGTCAAGTGTCCCGTCTTATTTACCCTCCACTTCACTGAAGAAGTCAAATTAACGTTATATTTTTTAAATGTCTCCTTGAACAAATAAAACAGGTACCGGGGCGTTAACGCTCTCGTTGAGTGATAGCTACTACAATTATAACGTTAACGTTAGTTAAGATAATGTAATGTTAGAGTTTGATACGACCCGTGACGCTGGCGTTTAGCTAACGTTAAACCATAATACCAACATTACCTGCACATTCTGTAAGTTAACATAATGCTTTTTTCTCACGAAGCAGACCAGCAATCTGCCGAAACAAGAATTCTTCTCCGCAGTCCAACCCGCCGACAGCTTGTCCGGTTCGGCTAACTCGTAGCTATAAAGATGCAGCTAGCAACATCAACGAGAGCTAACGGAAGAGCTCGCTCACTGTGTGACAAGACAAGTAGCGCAATGCTTCACGTGTTCAACCGCGAACAATGCACGGCTCATTATACTACCAAGACACTAGTTGATTCAGGCAGACAGTTCAACAAGCGTACGGGAGCAGGGAGTGTACCAAACAGTCAAAAAAAACCAAGCTCATACCTTCCGCCATGTTGCTCAGCGTTAGCTCCGTGGCCTGTTCTGTATCGCGATACGACGAAGAGCCGGAGAGTAGGCAGTGGTGCTGCGTTCAAGTGGTCCTCAGAACACGTTATCACATGACCATTACTATTCCACTTGACACGGAATATTATAGTATTACGCTGCTAGCTTTACGCGCGTGGTTTAATTGGCAATATGACGATGCTTTACTATGCTATAGGTTAAAAAGTATTAACTTGAGGAATTTTCTCTGACACAAAAACAGATGTCCTGGGTGTCAACTCTTGTCTCTTATGATGTCATTGTTGTCTCCACTGACGAGAGGCTGAAAGGAGTTCCTGACCCGAAGCAGGACGGTCCAGTATGTGCGTTCAAGACGGTTGTCAAACTCATGTTGCCTTCAGGTACTCCTGCTAAACTTCAGTACAGGGTACTGTGAATGCATTTTATGCCAGGAGCTCAACAGGGACCAAGATAACGATCAAGTTAATAATCTGCTCACTGATACACACATAAATATATTTATAAAAACTCTTCTCTGTGCTGATCACGTCTCCCAAATCACTGAAGAGACGCTTAGTTTAACGAAGTGCTGTATGGTGGAAAGACGACTGCTGTGATTTGTTGTCTTAAGATCAGACAGTCTCATTTTACCTAAACATGATTTAGTTAATAAAAAAAAATATATATATAGGATTCAGATTGCGACAGTTAACAGTGATGTGCTTGTGGAGCGGCAAGACTGGACAAGCAGAACTGTTTACGCACCTATGCTCTGCAATGTTACAGTCGCTCTGACAATTCAAATATTTGGCTGTGAGGTTTGCCACCAGCAACACTGGATCGCTTTTAATTCTAACCCCAAAAAAATCAGTCAATAAAAAACAGTTGACTAGCAAAGCAGACTATGAGTAAGAATATTAGACCAACATATATTATTTGAAGAGTGATCTTGCTGAGAGAACAGATGATGGCTGTAAAGTTTAAACTGATGAAATGTTGAATTAATTGTCTACAAGACTCTGTTTGCAGTATTGGGAAAATAAACCAGGTAAATAATACACGCAATAATAACAATTTGTGCACATTAAAGGTTTCCGTTGTCTTTGTCATAAACCAATATGCAACACACCTGAATTTAACACACCAGTAAATATTGAAAAAAAGTCATATTTTAAAGGAACTCACTACAGGTGATGGGTTTTCTTAACATGAAAAATATACATCAGTATTTTGTCTTTGTACATTAGGCAAAACTGCAATAGTTCAGTGAGCAGAATAATCGTGAGATTGTGGCTCAGGGGAAAGAGCAACAAAACAAAATGGGCACACATACTGTATACACAAACACTCGTTCGCAAACAAAATCCCAGAAACATTCAGCAAAACAACGAACCAAAACAAAAGTACAATAAAGCATGCATAACAATTCCTACCGAAGACAACACAGACAAGTAAAAGAGAGGCGGCTAAAATAACACAATATCAGAGAGGACGACTTCAAATTGTATCAGGATATCAAAAATGAATATGCGTACACCTCATACTAGGAGAGTTATTGCTACACCAAATTGTTACCAGTACCCGAATTATACAGATTCCCTGTGTACTGGCTATTAAATAAATCCATACATAGGTGGCACACAATATCTCCATCTTTTTTAAAACATCTTTTAACACTTCTTCAATGCAAGGTGAAGTGGCCAAGTGTTTTATTAGGAGGCACTTTTGAAAAAAGATAAAACAAAATGTAGCATGCACAAAAAATTGAAGGGGTACGTTGCCTTTCTCAAGTCAACTGAGCGAGATGTTAAGACTTTAACTCAAAGAAAAATAAATTCAGTCACGTACACATATGTTGAGTTCTGAGAGTGTGAAAGAACCCACAAGAACAGCGGCGTGTTTCTAATATGGCGGTATTCCCTTCATCGGTCACGTCCTTCATCTCTCGCTTGACTCAGTCCAGCTCTGCACAGGTGACATTCCTCCAACAGCGTCATGATTCTCTTTCTAATTAAGACATCCTGTTCAAACAATCTAAAGAGAACTAATGCATGCTGGAGTTGAGAGGGGGGGGATGGAAACATTTGAAAAATAAATCTATCAGAACCAGCGCTATTCATTTGGTCTAAGTGTCTTGATGGATGGAAAAGGAGCTTATATATTATCCGGTTTAGTCTGTGCTATATACACATCTTTACAATATCTTCCTGAATGTTGAAGCAGTTCATAGACTTGAAAAATGTTTTATCATCTTCTGTTTTTTGTTTTGCTTTTTTTGAATTGGCACTTGCTTGGCGGTTTTCTGTGAGCCTTGGTAGTCACTGTTATGTTCTATTGCAGCCTACAGTAGCCAGTCTGTTCCTGCCAAAAAATAAAAAGGAGGACAAGCCTGGCGACAGGGTGGAAGAGTGCAGGAAATAGTGCCATGTTGATTTTCAATTGGAGACCTGTGGGGAAGCACACGATGAATAACAGAAAAGAGTTGTGAGGAAGCATTCTAGACCAATCGCACAAGTCAACAACAACTAAGACAAATATTAAATTAATGATTAAAATGGCAGCAAAAGATCTGAAGCATGTTCAACCAGCTGGATGTGTGTGTGTGTGTGTGTGTTATTGTTAGTTTAGTTTGACAGCTGTTGTTGCACCACGTGGTCAGATGACAGTGCGAGACAACTACTTCACCCATACCATCCATAGGCTGTATATTAACTGAATATTAAGTAGGACATCATGATGATCTTGACCGCCCCCTGGTGGCTGGCTGCAGTATAAGTCAATTGAACTTAACGGTAACTGCGATGTTAGTTGATGGTGCTGGAGAGGCAGAATGGGTAGATCTAAGTTTAAAGCACTGGAAATAAATCTCGTTTATTATTAGGCACACATTGCTGAAGCTAATGCAGTCTAATACAATGAAGTTGACTCAACAAAAATTGAACATTAGAACGGCCATGAAGGTGGGCCTTCATTTAGGACTGTTCTCTTACACGGTTTAAGTTTTAGTTTGGCGTATCTAATAAACCTGGCATGGCAACCAAGTGGTGTTTACGTGTTGAACTACTGGACAGTTTTACTTTAATTTACCTGATGCAACAGGCAGATGCAACAGGCAGACACTCCAGAGCAGCTGAAGTCAGTTGTGATGTGTGAACCAAAGGTTTTAGAAAAGGTTAAAGTCGAGAATACTTGCCCTGAATACATGAAGCTAGATCCTCGCTGAATATCACTCAAACGCGGTCTCTTGGCTTTTTCGTACACAGCGGGCAACTTTCCTTTTGAATGCGCCGTGTCTGTCCTCCCTCCACTCTTTCTGCAGAGGGAAAACAGGTAAAGGGCAATTCATAGATCTTTACTGCATATCTCTATTTTTATATTTCAACATTATATTTGCTATAATTATACAAAATTAGAATTTATTAATTAATTATTTGTCATACATGTACTACTTAATACAATCCAAAACAAAATCAGCTAATTAGCTTTATTTTGTTTTGAGAAGAAAAGAACAGTAATATTATTCACATACCATTTCTACTTTTTTTTCAACAAGTAAACTTACTGCAGCATCCACATTGGCTGGTGAGTCACCATTTGGGTCTGCCAACATAGAGATAACACTAATCATGATGGTTTCCACTGTGTGGATCGGCAGCCAGCGCTCCTCTGGCTTCTCGTAGCCGTACTTGTCCTCGCCAGGCTCGTGCAAAATAGAAATACAGACATCTCCATTCTTGTCAACTGGAAATAAAAAAACATGCAGAAAACGATTTATGAAGCAGGAAATGCTTTTGCTGTTCCGATGGTATAATGATGTTTATGTTTTTAATACTCATGTACATACGATATTTAGCCTGTCGGCTACCAACCCGATTAATGATATTGTTTGTATACGGTGCCGATGAAAAATATCTGCCTCTACTTTGAATCAATATTTAGCAGCGGCATCTGTGGTAGCAGTTTTAGCCTTAAGTATACGGTGTGTGTAGGTCTATCAGCTGTGCACATCTGCACATATAAAGACATAAAAATGCAAAAATACTCCCCAGCAAATATATTTTCGCAGCATTTCGTAACTATTAATACTTGCAGCGATGCAGATTTGTCAGTTGACAGTTGCAACACTGTTTCAATATAAGATTCAAATAGATTTGTGCAGGCGGAGGACCATCTAGTGGGATATTATTGACCCAGAGTGACGTCTGACAGTCTGTCCGAGGTAAACTGTTTATCATTATTACTATTTTATTGAGTATTATCGCTCCGAGTGAATTTTCCCCTTGTAAACAATTACGCAGTGGATATGGCTCAGGTTTTTATTTTGAAAGGTAAGAACGGAAGTAGTGGATCTGGTCTGCGCTGCCTTTGGCAAGGTTGAAAGGAGTAATAAAGTTTGTCGTCTTGGTTCCGACTACGGACACCCCGTGTTGTTGTACACTGTAGTGTATGTTTTGAATATGTCCGTTCCGCACTTGGTTGGTTGACGCCATTATTCGCAGTGCGAGAGCTCAGAAAAATCAACCTCGTCCTGAAAAAAAATGAAGTCTTATGTAATGTTCAACTTATGTGTGAAAGTAATCAAGATAGAAACAACAGTTATAAATGAATACATTGATGTTTGATTTAATCGCATCAAAACAAATGCCCCTGGTGTCTAAAGGCCTTTCCTTGCAAAGCTTCTCAGCTTCTGTTCAATAACTCGAAGACATGAGTGAACAGCAATCTAGATTTTGACTTGGCCAGGACATTATTCCTATTTTGATCCATTCCCACCCACCCTAATATATTAGATTTGTATTAACTTCATAAAGCTAAAAAAAAAATTAAAAAAAATACGTACTACTCAAAAAACAACTGCCTACAAGTATAACTCTAATTCAGATAATTATCTATTATATCAACATGAGCAAAAACTATATAAAACCTAACACTACTCAGTTTTCTCCAACAGATTGATTGGTGCATTTCAGTTTATTGTTGTTTCACAAATTGTATTTCTCAGCAGTACTGAAGTTAAAAAATTCAAACCTTAGTGTGTGTTGTAACTCTTTGAAGTTGACTCTGCTGGACTCTTACTGAACTTGCTTAGGAAAAGTATTGCTCTGAATGTTTCATTAATTGAAAAAAGGTAACTTGAATGAGCATGGAATTAGCTTTAAGTTGACATTCTATTTAATGAATTGCGTTTAGATATTCCTTGGTATTAATGCACATCACAAAAGGGAAAATCCTAAACACGTCTAAAATGGAACTACGTACGGGTCGAGCTACAAACAAAAGCAAAATGATTCAGTGTGCTACACCTGTACCTACCATTAGGGTGCCAAATATCTGTGATAAATTTCATTTTAGGTGGCCTGAGAGGGTAGTCTTTGGGAAATGTCAGATGAGCTTTAAACACACCACCTTCACTGTGAACAAAAAAAGATGGAAGAGAAAAATCAATATAATGGGTGAATTGTGTTCACGTTTTAAAGCATCCAAAGCAAAAGAGGCTAAAAGAGTTGTTACACAACATTAGCACAACACATCTCTCCTACTATATTCCACGTTAAGACAATGATAGACTTACTACTGTGTATCTGGAGGACCGATGATGAGGACTTCCCATCTGTAGAGATCATTATCCTCGATCAGCCCTGCTGAGAATCCTTCCACTGGGTTTTTGTTCAGCTCTAGATATAAAAACAAATGCCAAAGTCAGACAACCGTTAGCTTGTATCATAATGCCTATAGTATGTTGGTTGACTGATGTTCTTTTCTGAAGACCTGCTGAGGAGACAACATACCCCTTGTCTTAGGAGGCCTGACTGGGGGTTGAATAAGAAAGCACACACCACCTTAATGGTCCACAGCCAACTCACACGCACTCATGGGATCACATGCATTCCTCCAGATATACGGTACTTTGCAACTCATAACTTTAAACATATTTTCAACTTGCATTATTAATTATGGAATAATTACAAACTCAAACACCATAACCACTTATATTGATTTTGAGTTTGACACCCTTAAGGTTTGGCACCTCTACAAAAGAATACATCATTTTGGTCTGTTAGTTACTATGACATCTTTAATACGACTACTACTAAACTGTGTTGAATGTAACACAATAGGTCAAGGGGCAACTGTTAGAAATGATGAGCAAGAAAGAGTATTTGTAACCAAACACCAAAATGAATCATTGAGGCATAAAATAAATCAGGAAATCTAGGGAATAAAGGAATTTTACCAACACACATGCAAATGAAGGCCGTCACCGTATCCCCCCAGACACAGATTTCCTGCCGTTTGACACCACCACTCCTCACATTTCACCCGATCTTCATCAGATCTGGCATATTTCGATGACCCCAAGAAAACTAGTAATTTTGTGACAATCTGCCATTTTTAATAGAAACGGCCAATTTCTCATAATTCTTGACAATCGGGAGCAACTGTAATCAAATGTAGACCACATGCATTACCAACTCAAAATGATGCTGCTGCTTTGGGGGGATTTAAACAACAGTTGGCAATGCAGCAGCAATAATGGCCATAGCTCAGTGGTCATCAGTCTGATTTCATTTGATATTTTTTGCTGATTTAGGAATTCCGAAAATAATCTGTAGAACAGTCGATCTCAGTATTTTGATGCACATCCAGATTGAGAAGAAGATAAATAACATCTGAACATGTTTTCTTATTTGTTTATTGGTAAGTCTTGTAAAAGGTACAGTATGTGCTCTATGAATGCTCACTGATAAAGGCACACGAACTGCTGCTATGTCTGCATGTTGATTTACAATGGCTGCCTCTGTGTTACAAGTCTGATACTTTGCGCAGAACAACTGCGTTGGGTCCAGACTTAAGTGAGTTTCAATGACACTTCTATAAGTGGATGTATAAAACAAAGGATATGTATTTGTCAATAAAAATGTGCTTGTTCCATTTTTAACAGCCTCTGCAACAGATCCAGAAGGCAACTTAAAATTTCTGACATTAGGTTAGCTAGCTCATTTCAACCAAATCCCACTCAAATATTCAGGTCCAGACCATGTACCAATCACTATGGAGAGAGTACCTGAAAACTACAAAAGGAGTACAATATGTCCCTGAAAGGTTGCTTATGGAAAACACAATCTTAGTAAAAACCTAACAGGTAACATTAACGTGCTACAAACCAGAGACATGAAACAACGTTATCAACACTGCTTTTGTAAAGATGCTAATATTAAGGTTGGTTAGTTAAATTTCACGACTGACTGCTAAAATCGCTAATAACGTGAGAGACAATGCGAGATTAACGTTAGCTTGTTAGCTTTGCGTGTCGAAGCTAACAACAGTGACAGCGGCTAACTTTAGCAATCAGATGTAGCGAGTTGGCTAAATATGTAAATAATTCGGTATGGTTAGCAGGAGAAATTGGGTCAACTAGTAAAACATGACTTCCATGTTTGCATAATATAGCAATGGACATCCCGTTGATCACATAACTAGCAAACACCATGTCTAAAAATGTAAAACACCACTTGTTATGTCGCATAAAATATATGTAAACACATCGAGTCGGTCCAGCCAGCTAGAGGCTAATGTTAGGCTAACTGCTCTTAGCTAGCCCGACACCAGAGAGTCGCTGGGACTTCTGACAGCGGCTTTAACTGAGATCAGTTGGTCTCCCAACACACTGAACGCGTTTAATTGTCAAGAGTGGAATGTGCCTGTCGACAAGCACTGCTATGATCTCAACGCAGTTTATTTGTCATGGGACAGTAAGGTTAGTGGGGGGAGATTCAAGAAAACTGTTGTCGCCAGCACCATCGTTTGAATCACAGCTAACGGCGGTGTTCGCTAGCTCTGCAGCCAGCATCAGTTAACACTAAGGTTTAATTACCTGCAAGCTGTCTCCTGAGTAACAGCACTGACTGCGGCTCTGTCATAGCTTAGCAAGTATAATGCAGCAATGTTCAATGGTAATATTTTGAGGTAACAGCGTTAATTTAACGTTCACCAAACTGTACTTCGCCCCCTCTATTTTCAGTTTAGTATTCTTGTCATTCTTCTTCTGCTGCTGCTGCTTCGTTTTCTTCTTCTTCTTCTTCTTCTTGGGGATTGTACAGAAGCCGGCATCCCGAATGATGCACGACTGCCATCTCCTGGAAATAGCTTCGATTTCAATCTTTTCTCAAATGTATCGCACCAAGCATATCCTTCACAAATACAACGTTATTGAGTTTATCCTGCAATGTGCTCCTGAATATTTCTCAATCCTTAATTCAGTGTGGCTGTGTTGCAACAATGCTTTAAAGCCTTACCTAAAATGTCCACATACACACACACATGGGGTTTCGGTGTAAAGAGAGCTAAAAAGAAATTAGTTTGTTTGGCCGATTGTTGGCTTAATAGCCATCTAGTCTCATTTTGTGCAATAACAATAATAATATATAAGGTTATTTATTTAGCATCTGTAAATAAAGATATTTATTGAGAAAGCCTACATCCTACTTGATGTCAACATGTTTTCAGTCAGAGCACTGGAATGTGTCCATCGATTAATGATTGTGAAGCATCACAAAACATATTAAAAGAAAAGCAAAATTGTCACTGACGGAAACTTGCAGCGTTGCTTTTCCTCCGTGTGGAGCCTGTTTATGTAGCTGTTATGTTTGGACTGTTGGTTCAGTTTTTAAATTTATTAAATTTACAGTTGTATGATTTAGAAATGACGCTATCTTCACATATATTTATTTATATAAATGTTTAAATAAATATGACATCCAAGAACTAAAATATGCCCAATCTTATATCTTTAATTATAATAATAACACAATTAAATATATAAAAAAACATCCAAACTTAAAGACCAGCAATTTTAGGGTTAAGTGTCTTGCTCAAGGACACATCGACATGCTCATAGCGGAGCCAGGGATCAAACCGCCGCTCCTCTGATTGAAGGAGGGCCCTGCGCTCCACTTAGCCAAGATCAGTTCTAGACTATGAATGTGTGGCATATAGGTCGGCGTCTAAAACCTTGTTGGGAAAACTGGATGTAATACAAGCGTCAAGAATATGTAGTGGGGTCTTTAAAACAACATCTGTGCCGGCATTGCAGGTAGAAATGGGGGAAATGCCGTTGGAGTTGAGAAGAATCCAGATCATGATGACATATTGGGTCAGTTTACAAGGACATAACAACCACCCAACAATAAGTGCAATTGAGCCATGCTGGGAACATGACAACAGGCCAACACAGAGCTTTGGTTGGGTTGTTCAGAAGAAGGCTAGTGAATTAGGTTATAGGAGTTATTCTCCAGCTGTGCTTAGCTGTTCCACTTTGGTTACTGCCACAGCCTGGAATTGATCTTGGCCTCCATGAACTGAAGAGAGATGAACGTGGGGGAAACTGTAAGATCTTCAATTCATACATCAGTTAGGCTACCACAATTAAATACAGATTTATGGATCTAAAGACCCTAAAACTGGTAGAATAGCAGCAGCAGCAGTAATCCTAGAATTCCATTTGGAGTGTGGGAAGAGACTCAGTGATGATTTATCAGTGTTTGCATGTGAGATGATGGCCATATAGTTATTGCGTTACAGTGGGTAGAGGACGTCAGGCCAGAGAGAGTGGTGATTGCATCAGACTCATGTGCAGTGCTAACGAGTTTGACATGTTGCCACTCCAGAAGCAGAGAGGATTTACTGTTTGAAATACTACAATCATTTTTAAGAATCCATCAAATGCGGATAGCGGTTCATTTTGTGTGGGTCCATGTTGGAGTCGATGGCAATGAGAAGGCGGATAAAGCAGCAAAAAGGGCTTTGAAGGTGGGAAAAATAACGTTAATGTAAATATAAGTAAGTCAGAAGCTAAAGTGGTGATTAAGGGACAAATCAAAAAGATATGTCAGAATGAATGTAATAAAGGGAGTAAAGGAAGATATCTGTTTAAAAATAAACCATTGGTTGGGAGCAGGGTCTAGTGGACGAACTAGAAAAGAGGAGATGATTGACAAGACTAAGGAATGGCCATACTGGTCTGAACAGTTCCCTCTATGTTATTAGAAAGCACAATAATGGAAAGTGTAAATTTTGTGGAGAAGAAGAAACCGTGGACCATGTTTTATTGTCCTGTCAGAGGTACGAGTCAGCGAGAGAAGTTTTGAAAAAAGGTCTAAGAGAGATTGGAGAGGAAAATATCATTAATGTAGCTACTAAAGAAAAGCTTTAGTGACAAATGTTGAAAACTGTTTCTGGAATATTTAGAGTCAACCAGATTAATGAATAGAATTTGAGAAAAAAAATAATTATTAATTATTATTTATTTTTTCTATTTTAGTATATATTTTTATATACATAACTTTATTTATTTACACACATATGTATGTGTGTGTATATATGTATATGTATTTCTTTTCGTTTGGTTGTGGTATTAGAGTCCTTAGTCCACTCCAGATTAGTGGGAGGCGGTAATGCACCCGAAAGCTGTTTGCCAACCGCCAAAAAAAGCAAAAGAAGAAGAAGAAGAAGAAGAAGAAGAAGAAGAAGAAGAAGAAGAAGCAGGCGGCTGAAAACGGTCCGATTTGAACGCAGTTTTTTGTCAACGCCCCTTTCTACGTCCGCCTGCTCTCGTCTGCTTTCCAGGCGAGACGCAGTTCAACACGAACGAGCCTATTATCACGATTTAGTCGGAAAAAACGTAACGTGATGAAACATGCAACGTTTCGTTAACGTTAAACCAGACCACCGGCGCATCTGGTTGCAGGTTGTTTGTTTTAACTCAAAGTAGAATGAGATGATACTGATGAGATGATGAGGTCAAAGAGCTTCAGGGAGAGGAGGCTGTTTGTGTAGCGCAGCTTGACGCAGGGCTGAGCTGTGAGTGGAGAAAGGTGGAGGTCTAAACAGACGTGAGGACAGCTTCCTGCAGATATGTGTGAGCATATCTGCACTCATTTTGTTTAGTTTTGCACAGGTTGCACGTTATCGTTGTTTTGAAAAGACATGCAGTAAAACTCTTTATTGCCAAATATTTGAACTTGTTTTGTTTAGTTTTTCACAGGTTGCACTTTATTGTTATTATCTTAGAAAGATATTCAGTGCAAAACAGGTGAATTGCTGCCACAATAAGCTATTTTCTGCCAAATATTAGTTATTTTTTGCACAGATATAACTTTATTTGCATTGTTCTAACAAAGCGATTGCACATTTCATTTGTTTTTGTCTCAGGGAGCAATCTGGTTTACTTGAAAGTGATTGCAATTTTCTTTATTCTATTATTTGAAAAAGCACAGACGGAGGAGTCACAAAATGTTATTTCAATAAAAGTTCAACATGGACCATTTTGTTACAATTTTGTTGGGGTGGTGGGGCATGAACATTTTTCTTCCTCCAAAGTGGGGCGTGACAGAAAAAGTTTGAGAACCACTGAGTTAAAGGGACAGTTCACCACAAAATCAAAGACACATATTTTTCTCTTACCTGTAGTGCTATTTGTTAAACTATATTTACAAAATAGCACTCCTCCTTATGCAGTGAAGACAAAAATCTCTTTATCTGCACACATGCGCCAGTAACACACTGACAGTCTAGTAAAATAACAATAATGTCAGGAAGTAAAGTGACATTTTTTTATCAACCTGACAAAATTACGTTCTTGTGGAAAGAAAAGAAAAGGCAACACTGTAACTTCTTTACATTCTAATAGAATGTAAAGAAGCTACATTGTATTAGAATGTAGCTTCTTTACATTCTAATAGAATGTAAAGAAGCTACATTGTATTAGAATGTAACTTCTTTACATTCTAATAGAATGTAAAGAAGCTAGAGTCTAGTTGTTGCTCTTGACTCAGAAACAGAGATGGACCAAACCTGATAAAGACAGCTTTGTCTTTCTAGTTTGAATCAGAGTTGACCTCAGCAGATAAGAGCCGGTTCCCTCTGAACATTGTCTGTGTGTGTGTGTGTGTGTGTGAGTAAGAGAGAGAGTGTGTGTGTGTGTGTGTATAGATCCTCAACTACAGCAGAGTCCTGCGTCTGAGCCCCCCATGGAACTGAGAAACAGGAGAATTGAGTAAAGCTGGACAAAAGCAACCATGCATCTGTAAATGTTTGAAGTTAAGCTAAAAACTACTGACTTGAAAATATTCCTTTTTGTCACTTTACAGCTTCACAAATGGCACAGAAAACCCTGTTAACCCACACAGTAAGACCATCAGCAGTTTGTCTGTTCACCCAGGCTGTGGAGCATACAACAGCCTCTCTGATTAGACTGTCAATTCAGATAAAGAAAAGCTCCCCCCAGCAGGAAAAATGAGAAAACTCACATTTTACAGTACTTAAAAATAACTTGTTTGTTGACATATTTCCTCCCATTCAGGAGCACTGTGCAGTATCGATCCGAATCTTAAAATGGCTGTGATCAGTTGTGTATACCTATCATCCACTTGTTTTAATTGTCTTAATAATTCTACGGAATTCTGCTGACAACCATCAACACTCATGTGGCCGGTTTGGGTTCCAGCTCTGGACTCAGACTAGCCCATAATGTCTCGGCAGAATGACATGAATTTGCCCAAGTATCCATGTTGAGGATCATCAGATTAACCTCTGCATCTGTGAATGTCCCAGTCAGCATGCAGCTGCTGCGTCCTAATGAGAACCAGAGGTGCCTCAGTCTGGATCACAACATATGCACATAATGGAGTTCAAGATGGAGGGTTTCATTCTCTATTCTCTGTATTTACTGTAGCATTTGGTGGAAATCCATCTCATAATTCCACTTTCATTCCTCACTTCATTGGATCAGGAAGTGTCTCAAAACCCTGTATGTTGTCCAAACAATGTTTATATTCAAACAACAAATAAGTAAATAAATAGATGAATTCTGTCTATTGTCTCCTCAGTGTATTTTAAAAGTGTCCACTAGATGGCACAGCTGCAATACTGTAAAACATGCTATCATCAAGATCCCGGTTGTCTTCCATTGATGAGCTACAATTGGTTCGACAGATGTTCACTGGGACGTCCAGCAGAACTGCCCTAAAAATGTTGATGTTTGCAGCCGTCAAGTCCTCATGTACATGAAGTGTTGATTTACTGTAGAGCTGCCCCCTCTTAGTCCACTAATCGTTTGTTTTAGTCTTAGTCTATGAACATGTAATGCTTTTTTTCATGCTGAATGACTTATTTCCAAGAAACTTGGGGGAACATCTCTGGTTAACGTAATGATTTGAAGTGGTGCTTCTGTGCGATTCTTTGTGGAGAAACGTTTACAGATCTGTCGATTGAATCAACAAATCGACAGGTCGTCTAAATTGTAGTGTAAGTTGGCTGAAAGCTTCTTTGGTGGAGGATATTTATAATAGCTTTGGGGCCAGGCAATTTACATGACACTTCAGACTTAAGAATATTTTATAAGTGTATGTCTACAACAAAGGACATGTATTTGTCAATGAAAATGTGGCAATTTAATTTTTAACAGCCTCTGCAACAGATCCAGGTATGTATAAGAAGGCAACTTAAAATTTCTGACATTAGGTTAGCTAGCTCATTTCAACCAAATCCCACTCAAATATTCAGGTCCTGACCATGCCATTATGTCCCTGAAAGGTTGCTTTTGGAAAACACAATCTTAACCAAAACCTGAAATGTTAATGTTGGACCATTGTTGATATTGGATCTGAGTGCTGACTGTAATGCTGACAGTAGTCACTAGATGGTGATAACTGATACCAATATTTATTTTGGTTGTACTTACTATTAGCAGTGGCCTACTTCTTCTTCAAATAATAACAATAATAGTAATAAAAACAATGAATAGCAAATATGTGGAAAAATCACCACAACACTAATGAAAACTACATTTTGTAAAAGCATGAAATAGAAAGAAAGAAAATAAATAGAATAGCATTAAAATGCTTTGTGTCATTTATTACACAATTGTTTGGGTAATTGTAGTTTTTGTCTCACACATTTCTATTCATCTCTTACAGTATGATATTAACTGCCATGTTCTCATTTAACACTAATGTCAGTGGTTACTTCTTCATCTGAAGGTGAGAAAGGACTTGACGCTTCTGGCAGGACTGAATGAGGAACTCCGTTTGTACGTTGTGATCGCAAGTTCTTGTGGAGCGGTGACCACACTCAGCTGTGTTGTTCGTAAATGAGCCTGTGCCCGTAAACTAGCGGACACAGATGAACCCTGTGTGGCCTTAAAGGGTCAGTCCCTTTGTAGAAATGTTGGCCTGCTATAACATCTTCACGTCCAGTATCAATGTCCAAGTTAAATAGTAATGTTTATCGTATAGCTGAACAAAGGCTTCAGGTTTTATGGCCATCAAGTGTTTACTCTTCTGTCTTTAGAGGGCCACCAAGAGACATCTGTGTGTCTTAGTGATTCTCCAAACCTGCTGACAAAAACATCAATTTTGGGGGATCAGATCTTGAGACAAGAGGAATTGATTTGACAATGTTGAAGTATTGCTCTCGAACTGTTCTAAAGATCACTTCGGAGAGCTGAATATGGTGAAGGACACGTTGACAATAATGTTGTTCAGAATAAAAAAAATGTTGGCATAAGCTTATGTGGTTGTAAAAAAATACACATCAGTGATCAGTTTGTGTGCTTATTATGTAATAGTAGATTTAAATCTTTCATAATGGACCTTTACATTACCACTCTATTGCTAGGGCAACAGCTTTGGTCCAAGTTTACTTCAGGTCAGCTGCTTCACTGACAAACATTGCAACAGAAAATAGTAGTTTGAAAAAGTCTATGGCAGATTAATATCACGACTCATTCACACTCATCAGTCAAGACTATTCAGCTTTATAATATGTCTACATTATTTTTATATTTAGGAATGTATAATCAAATAAAACACAAATTACCAGAGCAGAGTCACCGATTAAACAGCTGTGTGGGTTTCAGACTGCAGTTTTGCTGACACATGAGGAAAAACAACAAGAAAGTAGCAGCTTTCTAGGTTCCAAGGGCATACACATCTTAGAATTTGATGACAGAAGCCACAAGTTACTGTGGATGATAGGCAGTATCACCTTTCAATAATCCGTCAAATATTTGGACTGACATAATGCCATAATGTGTACTGTAATGGGCAATATCACTCTTTTAAAATCGACATACATAAACAGTTCCTGCTTAAACGACAGAACTGCAACCGCTGGTGAAAGTCACAACACATGTCACTACAGTGGAACAACTGACACCCACATGCACACTAAGCACTTCTGTCCTTCTGCTGAGTGAGATAGGCTGTTACATCTCCTTAATGAATCAGGCCAGAAGCATTTCTTACTTGCTACAAGAAAGAATGAAAACCCAAAAGGAAGACAAGAGGTGCATGCAACTATGTGGCTTGTTTACAGCATTGCACCACAGTGAGGATCTGTGTGTGAAAGCATATGACCAACCCAGAGAGGGCTGTTCCCTTCACTAACTTAATATCTCTTGAGGCATGCTAGAGCTGAGGCCTCTGTTAGCTTCCTAGAGCCTCAGAGGCAACCCGTCCTCTGACAACTGCAAACATGGAATGAAGTGAGAAAATAACAAGATAATACCGACAAGCAGGTGAGTCTATACATTATTTTTTATCTAAAGGTTTATACCTGTATGATATGAATATTTAACAGTATCAGAATGTTTGTAAAAAAAAAGATTGCCATGTCTTTGAGAGTGCAACTATTTCACTATGCGGTTTAAGAAAATATTATTATGTACAATTGTGTCATTGTTGATGCTGCATTAGCTCTAACCATGAATGCATCGGTGCTTTTCACACCGCATTTAAAATGATCTACTGAAACGCTTTTGTTTATAATGTTAGGTATTTTACATTTCTTATCTTGTTACTTTATAATCTTATACAGTAGTTTTTAATTGGACAGTATTTGATAGGATTGTACACCAGTAGTTTTGTCTCTTTTCCTTAAACATATGAGATCTGAACTCTTTCTACAATCACATCCTCTTCTGTTCTACGGTGTTGCAAGAACCGTAAAGTAGCTGAAACGCTCCTTCTCCTTCCTCTGACTCTTTGACATATAGTTGCAACGGTGTGTTCTTACACAGTTGTGTGTAAGTTGCCTTTTGTGTCATAAGGACGATTTCTAAAGTGTTTCCACAAACCACATTAATGGACTTCCCCCAAACGACACTACTCGTGGGGCAGGGGGCTTCAAAGGCAACACATACTGTAGGAAATGCACTTCTCAGCATGAGCCATGTCCAGTGGAACAGGAACAGTCACTCGTTGTTCTGTGATGTAATCCGACTATATTTTAAAGAGATGTCATTTGCATCCACTGTGTTTCCCCCACTCTAAATAAGAGTGTAATTCAGTGCTGTCACTGAGCAACTTTATTGAGTTGTCTTATAAAACTACTGCGCACACACTGAAGCATTATTATCTTTGGTGAGAATGCAGAGGCTAAAGGATTACTCTGAAACTAGGTCACACATTCTCAATTCCCAGGTGAAGAAAGAGCTGCTCACTATGGAGCCAAAAGACGAACGTCTCCCTCGATGGAGTCTGGGGTCCGGCTCCGGTCTACGTTACGGCTCTTTTGTGAACAGCCTTTCATCGCTCACACCAAAGGCAGAGGAAAGGGAGAAACCGGCCATATCACCTAGACGTGCCTACGTCGCTGTAGCTGTGCTTTGCTACATCAACTTGCTCAACTACACAGAACGGTACACAATAGCAGGTGAGAAGACCTCTTGTGTTTCAACAAACACCATTGACTGTTTCTGATTGGATGGGCTCACACATGACTTGTTTTTATTGTCATACAGGTGTCCTTCCCAACATTCAGAAATTCTTTGACATAAGTGACAGTATGGCTGCACTCATACAAACAGGTATGATGATGCAGAAAACACTCATACACTCACACATATTTTGAAGGTCTGCATTTGACCCTGTATTACTTCAGATGAAGTTATGCAACATGTGCTGCAAGTAAATTGCAGAGCACTGACTGTTGGTTATTGCCAACAGAAGACCTATCCGTTTATTACCCACCTTCTTGCAGCAGTACAATTTACAAAAGTTTCACAAGTGGGTTTCATTAATTATAAAAGAATGAGTCAATGTGTCACGTTGTGAGGAAGGAATTAATTCTTATCCATGCACTTGCAGTTTTCATCAGCAGTTTTCTGCTGTTGGCCCCTCTCTTTGGTTACCTTGGGGACCGCTACAACCGTAAATACATCATGATTGGTGGTTTGACTATGTGGCTTGTGACTGCAGCCGGCAGCTCTTTTGTCACAGAGTCGGTGAGTTACAAATAGATGTGTTCACACTTTACACTAAGTGAGAAATGAGAAGCGAAAAGAACACAAGATGTCACTTCCTGCTATGGTTTATCATTTGACTTCATCATGCTTTTACTGCTCAAATGGAAATTGATTTGCAATGCAATGAGTTTGTGGTCCAGGGAACTTATCCTTTGAACAACAAACAAGCAAAGCAAATATTCGGTATGCAAATATTACATAAGATTAACATTGAATTTGTCCAGTGGACAATATGGGCCTCAACATGAAGAACAACAGAACAATAGGAATGTCATATGTTAAACTGAGAGGATCTTTGTGGCTGAATCTTGTTAAATTGCCTCAATGCTGTTGTCTTACATTCTTCAGTACTTCTGGCTTCTGATGCTGTTGCGAGCCATGGTCGGGATAGGAGAGGCCAGCTACTCCACCATTGCTCCCACCATCATTGGTGACCTCTTTGTTGGGACTCGACGTAGCGCCATGATCTGTGTCTTTTACATCTGTATCCCTGTAGGAAGGTTAGCAACAAACTCAATCTAAATCAACAACTGTGTGTTGCTGTTGTTGCATATTTGAATCCATGAACTAAAAACCACGAAGCCTACTGTTGCGTGAATACAAATTGAAAAGCATTAATTGTTCCGACACATTGTGAACGGTGCAAAAAAGTCTTTCTGTCCACTGAAACACTACATGGCTTTCAATTGGAGATGGACCCAGGAACACACAGTGGCACGTTTCTGATGCTTAATTCAAATGTAGCCACTGCCATCTTGTGGCACTTGTACGGCACTACAAAATATAGTTTGTCTTGGACGTTAACACACATTGTACATCCACAGTGACTGAAACAGAAACTGATTAAAGTATTGTTTGTATTAACAGCATAATGCTGTTAATTTAACAAGGCAAACAGGATTAGATCGGAAGAGAATGAAGCTTCATTCTAAAATATGATGACATTTCTAATCTAAACAGAGTGACATAAGACATAAAGGCCTCTAATATAAAACTGCTTCAAATAAAGCCGGTACTTTGCAGTTGAGGTGAATAGGGCCCTGGTCACTATTTGATTATTGACATTAATATAGTTATGTTTACAGATTTTTCTTTTACCAAGTTACAAAGGCACACAGTTAGGTTGTACCAGCAGGTGCAGTTAGGCCCACAGCCTAACTGCACCTGCTGGACGAACACACTGTTCCTGTGGTGGAACATTTTTAAATATCTCCCAACCCTACTCCAACTCGATCGATCAATGATGTATCTTCCTTCATCCCAACAAATGGTGTAACTTCATCTCTCAGTAACTTCACTTACTCACTCACAAACAGACTTTCGAGTGGCGAGGTCAACAATGCTGCCGGAAAATAAGATGAGAAAGACGAACAACGTTGTAAAAAGGATGATGAACAAAATCAAATCTAACTCAGCAAGAACATCCGGATCATGTCCTTTAAACAGTTCAAAGTCAAATCAAAGATGCAAGGAAAATACTTTTTAATCTGTGAATTCCACAGGACAGCTGGACCCTATTGTTAGGCTTGTTTATGTCCTCATGATCACTCATATGTTTTTACCATTCTGTGTATTTTCAGCGGTCTTGGATACATAACAGGGGCAGGGGTCGCTACGCTAACAGGAGACTGGCGCTGGGCTCTCAGGGTGAGAACATTTTCATTAACAGTCAAGTAAATCTTAGCTGAACACTGATAGATATTACAAAATGTTTCTGTTATCAGATCACTCCCATCTTGGGTGTAGTGGGACTTGTCTTGCTGGTCTTCTTATGCCCTAACCCACCCAGAGGTGCTGCAGAAACCAACGGAGAGGGAGTTACAGGGGAGAGCTCTTACAAGCAGGACCTCAAGTATCTTCTGAAAAAGTAGGACATGGAAACTAATACTGGATTAATACTATAGCCTGGCTAATACTGTGTTTTTGAGGCCAATACAGGTATTGATTAAGAGTGTAAAATATATCATCTGATATATTCGACAACATTTAGATTTATTGGCCAGGCTCTACTTAATACTGTGATACTTAGTCCCTAAAGTACACAGAGATATGATTTGTGATTAATATTAACAAATCTTGTTTTTTTTCCTCTGATCTTAGCAAAAGTTATGTGTGGTCATCGTTGGGAGTGACAGCTACGGCCTTCCTCACCGGAGCCATGGCTTTCTGGATGCCTACTTTTCTTTCCAGAGCTCGGGTCAGTCAGGGACTCCTACCGCCGTGCTTCAAGGAGCCCTGCAACAACACAGACAGGTGAAGCACGACCTTTGACCTGCATCGCCGTTCATGTCCATCATGTCCAAATTGCTACAGAGTTTTCACAATGCTGTCTGCTTCTGCTCCCGGTGCAGTTACATCTTCGGTGCTGTGACGGTGGTGACGGGCATTCTGGGAGCGTGTCTTGGCAGTGGTTTATCTAGATGGTTTGGTGTCAGGGTCACAAATGTGGACCCAGTCATCTGTGCAGTAGGCCTACTGGGATCGGCCCCCTGCCTCTTTATCACCATCTTTTTGGCATCAGCAAGCATTCCCGCAACTTATGTAAGAGACAAATGTCTGAAATGATTATTTTTATGTATGGCTCTAGAGATTCCATTACTTTATTTCAGACTGAAATATCTCAACAACTATTGGATGGATTGCCATGCAATTTTGTACAGACTCCTACTGGCTTTGATGATCCCCTGACATTATTACCTCTAGCGCCGTCATTACATTTTAGTTTTTCAGTTTAATGTCTTGAAAACTATCAGGTGGAATCCAGTAAAATTTGGTACATACACATATGCCCCACTCAACCTTTGGTGATCCCCTAACTTATCCTTCTGATCACAGATACAAGCGGGCAAAATGTGTTTCCTTCGTAGGGTGGCTTTGACAATACATCAATTGATGAATCCTTTGCTCTGTGTCTTCAATGTCTCATTTCAGGTATTCATTTTCATTGGTGGAGTTTTGATATCACTGAACTGGGCTGTCATGGCTGATATACTGCTGGTGAGTTTGAAATCTGTGTGTGAAAATAAAATATGAAACAGTCTGCTGAAACTTGAAGCCAACTGGTTCTTTTGTGCTATTTTTTACTTCAGTATGTTGTCATACCAACCAGAAGGGCCACAGCTGAGGCTCTCCAGATTTCAGTCTGTCATCTCCTGGGTGATGCTGGGAGTCCTTACTTAGTAGGAGTGGTGAGATATAGTTACATGTTCCCACAGTTAACTTCATTTTAACTGTATTGTTTCATCAATAGTACCTCTGTGAGCTTGAGTAAACCATATTTTCTGTGCATCATAAAGCTGTCTTCCCACCTTTGCCAATAGATCTCTGACGCCATACGCAAATCTAAACCTGCGACTCACGATTGGAGCTTCCTTAGTCTGAAGTACAGCCTCCTGGTCTGCCCATTTGCTGGGATCCTGGGGGGACTGTTTTTCCTCATGACTTCCATTTACATTACTGGAGACAGAATGGCAGCTGCACGATTGGTTGAAGGTACTGTAAATGGGTCATTATTGGCCTTTTATTCTCTACAAATGGTGATACCGTACAACCCTGACTCAAACAGAACAACTTTTTTTTCAGCTTTGGTTACTTGCTAAAATCAACATATTCTGAGAATGTTTCAATGAGAAATGTAATGCAGGAGTTCTGTGGGGATGACACACTGGCACATGATTAAGTCCTCACCCTCGTGTTTGCTTGTTAATGCCACTATCACACATGCTGGAGAGCCCTTCCTGAGCAATAGCCTTCTATTCAAGTCTCTTACTACAAAATAGCACTCCTCCTGATGCAGTTAACACCAAATTCTCCTTATCTGAACACATGCCCCAGTAACACACTGGCAGTCTAGTTTTTCTTATAACTCAGAAACAGAGAAAGACCAAACTTGATTAAAAAAAAAATAGCATTGTCTTTCTAGTTTGGATCAGAGTTTACCTCATTCTCTCCATTCTATTAGATTGTTAATAATTGACAATTACTGGTTTGTGAGGCAGCTGCACCAACAGGGCGACATAGTTGGCATCACCTCAGCAGATAAGAGCTGGTTCTCACCTAAAGCCCTGATCACACCGAGACGCATGGCTAGAAACGCATCGCCCTCCAAACCATTGTCTTCCTGTGGTACGGGCGCATGCTCCTCTTTTGTGCTGCGCTTTGCGTTTTCCGAGCGGCATTTTATTTGCACGTACAAATTTAAATATTCCAAACTTTTCAGGACCAGGCACTGCTCACACAGTGCATCAATGGCAAACTTGGCCCAGGCAGTCAATCGATTTTGAAGCGGCCATGCCTACAGCGATACCTGGTCACTTAGTTTCCTTGTCATTAAAATGAGTGCTCTGTCCTATTATTTTCAAATGTTTAAACATGTTTGTGTGTGTGTGTGTGTTTCCAGGAGATCCCCAACCCCAGCAGGGTGCTGCATCTGAGCCCCCAATAGAACTGAGCAATGGGGACAAAAGCAACCATACAAATAATGTATCTGTAAATATCTGAAGTTAAGTTAAAAACTACTTTTGACAACAGGTTGTTGGAGTTAACTTGAAAAGATCCCTTTTTATCACTTTACAACCACACACTGATGACAGATGCAAAGACTTGTTAACTGTACAACACACAGCACCCTCTATTCGTACCAGGGTTTTAAAACGAAAACGTTTTCCGTTCACACAGGCGTTTCAGCATCGTTTTCGAAATGATTTCCGCCCATACTAGCCTGAAAACAAATATCATATGATTATCCACGTGCACTGGGCATGCGCGTGACAGTGTAACCAGAAAGTCGATTGGTTGCTTAGTTAGAGAAATTAAGCAGTATTATAGTACTGCTTAATAATTAAGGTAGTTCTTGTTACTTCAGATCTTCCTCTATTATCTTCCTCTATATACTCCAACAAATTTCATTAGAAAAAAAAAACGTTACAATGCGACAGGTCTTGCGCTTTCTCTCTCTCGCACACACATCAAATTTACTTTAAAACAAATACTTACAAATCGAAGTTTACTAGATTCTGGGTCAATAGATTTGGTCAACACACGTCTCTCCCTCGTTTCCCTTCGGTTTCACACTAGTAGCGCTACCGGGTGGCTGAAAGTCCCCGTCACACTGGAGAGCATTTATGGTTTTGTTCGTTTACCGTTTCTTTGTGAACTTCACAATAGTTGTGCAGAAAAAAATAAACATTGATAAGAAAAGTAAAATCCTTTATTTTGTGTACGTCGCCCTCCTCATAGCCGCAAACGGGGACTTCAAACGTCTGCTATGTTGTAGGGCTGATAGTGCCACTGGATATGTGCTCGCTAATTGCTCCAATAACAGCTTGCTTCCTCCGCATATTGGCACAAGTAGTAGTATAAAATGCGGAATTTAACTGCGCAATTGCTGCTAGTACAGACAACTCTAGATCTGTTGTCCATGTTGAATGTAGTTGTATGTTTTCCTCCGGCGGCGTGACGAATCAGGGAAGGACACTTCATGACTGCTAAGACCCAATAAAGCAGCAAACACGAGTGTCTACGTCATTGTTTTCAAAGGTCTCCGGTTCAGTGCCTGTCCACACTACAACACAACCCCGGAGTTTTCAAACTTACTCTGCATTGGTCGTGTTTTCAAACTCCTTTGTTTAAGGTGCTCTAATACTCCGGAGTCGTGTCGACGCTAGGCATACGTAGCAAAACATCTGCGTTTCAAAATGGAAACGTGGTCGTGCGGATGTAGCCACAGCTACTCAATTTTGGTAAACAGAAACAATACCTCCAATTCAGAGGCCTTATGCTGTCTTGTGCTCAACTTAAAATGTACATGCTTATGATTTCTTAATGGAATTTTTTTTTTCATTTTTTTAATAAATGTGTAAATGCAACCGTTATTGTGAAGTTCCCTCCTTCCAACCTTGGAGAACTATCTCATGTTCTTTTTGTCTTTCTATTTGTCTCTCCGTTCCTCCCTCTCTTCTCTCTCTGGCTAATGTTATAAATTCCCTCAATAATCAAAATTGACTGGTAAGAAGTATATTCATGGAGAGATGTTTTCATTTTGCTTTAAACTATTTTACAGCACACCTTTTTGTACTGAATACATCCACTTACAGTAACGGTCTACACACTATTCCAGAAGACACAGTCAATGAGCTGATGCTCCATCATCACAAAAGTAAAGAAATATTTTCCCCTTACATTCTAAAATATGAAGTTGAAGAAACCTTTAAAAAGGTGCAGTGTGTAGTATTTGGGGGATTGCAACCTCATCGCTAGATGCCGCCAAATCCTACACACTGAAACTTCTCCATGTGCCAACCATGTGGGAGAGCTACGGTGGTCGGTCCTTTGAGCTTTTTGCAAGTGACAGCCCAGTCCCAAAACCATTGTTTTGCTGACACCACAATTTTAAAATGGCTGTGTTCAGTTGTGTATAACTATAATACATAATGATTCACCTGAATTTTGCTGAAGGGCATCTTCACTTTGGCCAGTTTGAGCTCCAGCTCAGACTAGTCCATAATGTCTCGGCAGAATGAGATGACTTTGCCCAAATATCCATGTTGAGGATCATCAGATTAACCTCTGCATCTGTGAATGTCCCAGTCAGCATGCAGCTGCTGCTTCCTAATGAGAACCAGAGGGGCCTCAGTCTGGATCACAACATATGCACATAATGGAGTTCAAGATGGAGGGTTTCTGTCACGGGATTTCACGGATAGGACCCAAACGCAAGACCACAGGAGACAGAGTCCGATGTAACGGATTTTATTTTGAAGGTGTGTGAAGGTGTGGAGCCTGTTGTCCGACACCGGAGTGCAGGCGGATTGACGGTGTGAGTCCCGTGGCTCGACACCGGAGGGCTGGCAGATCGACGGTGTGATGTCCCGTGGCTCGACACCGGAGAGTACGCAGATCGACCAGTACTCTACACCCGTAGCAGAGAGAAGAGAGATTCGTTCAGGAAGGAACAACGGGGTTCAACTTACTGAACGGTGGTGGAGGCTACCGAGGCAGAAGACAATACGGACTGACAACCCAGGCCTGCAAGACCAGGGTTGATATGCTGCTGGGTAATGAGCCAGATTGTCCGCAGCTGTGCATCCATCAGGGCGGTGGCAATGGGAGGTGTCTGGAGGCAGGCCCGAGAAAACAACACCAAGCACATGGCACAACAAAACAAACAGGGGAAAGACAGACACATGAGGAGAGGAGATTGGGGGGAAACAGAGGTTAACACACAATGGGTCAGACAGGGATCCTGACAGTTTCATTCTCTATTCTCTGTATTTACTGTAGCATTTGGTGGAAATCCATCTCATAATTCCACTTTCACTCCCCACTTCAGTGGACCTACTCTGGAGGTGTCTTTATATGTTGTCCATGTATGGTAAGAAAATGTAAATGTGTTTCTATATAATAAGAAATAAGTAAATAAATGGTGTGTTTTTTGTCTCTTCAGTATATTTTGAGTGTGTCCACTAGATGGCACAGCTGCACTACTGTAAAACATGCTATCGTGAAAATCATTTGCCAGATGAGGACAATGTACACCACCCAGCCTGGCAAACAATTATTTTATTTTATTGTAATAGAATATATACACATATACTCCCGCATATACATACACATGTATATGCATATATGCTGACTTACATATTACATACGTATCGCAAAATGAATGAATAAATACACTAATAGCCTATAGGTTTCAACCATATCAATGAGAGTGTAAAGGCGTGGTCACAATATAAACCATGGCATAGTCAGCTACTGGATATAGCCTACTCAAATCAATGTTCTGTGTTAAATATACATAGATTCACCGGTTTCTAACAGTCTGCCCCTAGACATTACCTTGAGCAACTGTAATCTTAAAAAGCTAAATACAGGTAAGTCAACAAGCTCAAATTCAAGTATTATCAGTTTTCAAAACGTTTGGTAAAGGCAGGTGTGATATTAAAGGGTCAAGGTGACTGGAATGTAACACGAGCACAGCACAGGCTGAAACCCAGCAGTTTTGGACTTTTGCACGAGCATGAACCCTGTAACACTCATTCACCATTTCTCTCACATGTCAGAGGATCTCCTGGTAAATACAACTGACACGGATGCCTCCTCCAGTTGTCCGTGTGATGTGTTGCCATGTTCGACCAACCACATGAGTGTCTACCTCTGACACTTGCACTCCGTTTGAGTGTTTACTTTTGATATTCCCTGAACCCTAAAATGTGAGCGTACATCTGTGACCTCTGCTGAGTTTGTGGAACATGATAGGTGCTAACAATCATCAAGCCACTAAGCCCAGCTGCTCTTGTGAAAGACTAGCACAGACTAGACAAACAGGGCATATTTACATACCCGAGTATGACAGCCGCTTGTCACTCAATTTCTAAACACTTCATGCTGCTGCTGCAGACGCGTCCAACGACCCCAGGCAAATCCTAACAGCTGCATGTCATTGCGTCTCCCCATTGTTTTTGTACTGGGGTAGACAGCGCAGGGAGGTCAAAGGTCATTGTCTCTCTCAGGTACAAGGTCATGCAATAATTGGGCTGCATTGTCATCATGTTATACACCCTTTTACAGTCGACGCCATCAAAAACACACAGTGTTTTGCTCCAGCCATCAAGATAAATTAGTGTGGAGGATTTGGCGCCATCTGGTGGTGAGGTTGTAACCAGCTGAAACATCTCCCGAAAACACAAAGATTCTTACTTTCAAGTGATTATATGCTGAAGAAAACATACTTACTATTATACTCTATTTCTGCCAATAGATCCCCCTAAATGCTACACAATGTTGCTTTAAAAATGTAATTAAAATGTCTCGTTGTCGCATGTTTGGTTGCCAGGATCGATATTCCAACAGGGGACTGCAGTTCTACAAAATTCAGACGGGATCACGACCGGTTCAGAGCAGCAGGTGTTTCAGTAACCAGAGAACATGTTAACTGGGGGATTTCAGCCCAATGCGTCAGTGGTTTCTGATAGTAACTTGCGTAAAGAGTTGGTGTAGATAATAAACCCAGATGAGTATATAAAAAGGATTGACGGCTTTTACAAGCACACTCACATCTTCCATCTCTATGAGCACCCACAGATGCATTCGGATGAGAGTCACCAGCCCAGGGCTTCTATGGCTGCAAGCTATTAAACATGTTGAGTACCACTTGACCGATCAAAAATACTTGTGTTTGTAGGGCCCATTTTAAAACTCAATAAATTCCAAACTATGTCATGGCATTCGATGTTCTGTACATGACCACAGATAACGTAGTCTGGTGACTTGTGTGCTGGTTATTTCTTGCTGGTGTAATGTTGCACACGAGGTTTCTCAACCAGCTACATGTATATAGGAGGGCACTATGTATTGGGCCACTTGCTAATGTATTCTATCCACTCACTATTG